CGCTCTTGTTACCCAGGCTGGAGTGCAATGGCGCGATCTCGGCTCACTGCAACCTCCGCCTCCTGGGTTCAGGCAATTCTCCTGCCTCAGCCTCCTGAGTAGCTGGGATTTACAGGCACGCGCCACCATGCCCAGTTAATTTTTTGTATTTTTAGTAGAGACGGGGTTTCACCATGTTGACCAGGATGGTCTCGATCTCTTGACCTCGTGATCCACCCGCCTCAGCCTCCCAAAGTGCTGGGATTACAGGCTTGAGCCACCGCGCCCGGCCCCCTTGTTCATTCATTTCTTAATGATGTTTTTCAAGCCCAGTATTTCTTTCATGTCACCATTAACATAACCTTTCTAAATACAAAAATTCACAGTTCACATTATGAAATTTTAATAGCTAGTCTTTATTTTGAACCGTGAACAATATAGATTTATCCCCCAATTCATCCTTTTTTTTCAAAATGAGTTTAAAAAGATCTTTCTCTTTTTCACAAGCTAGAAAGTATCCTTCGTATGATGAAGATTCAAACTGCATCTTATCATCATGCCCTGGAACACTTCTTTGAAAAAATATGATGTCACTTTTTGCATCAATGATGTTATCAGGAGGACTGATTTCCTATAGAGAAAAAAACCAAAATTACCTAATTATTTCAGGACATGAACAATTTGAATATATGAAGTTTATTTTGAAGTATGTTACTGAACAGAACAAAAGTAGTTTTTCTTCTCAAGAGTTATATAAAAACATCTCTGAACAGCAACAATGACCTCCTCTCTTTTTTAACTCTGAATCTCCTATTCTCCCTGTCATGGGATGCAGGAAGATCCAGGCCTCTAGTTTTCCCCTATCCATCAGACAGCTTACTTCTCTGCTATTCCATTGAGTGCTGTCCACATCTGCTCAAGATGAAGTAGAGTTCCAGCAAAGACCATAACCTTTTTGGGCTAATGTCAGTTCTTGTCTTCTATAAACCATTCACAGCTAAAGACATCAATGACCTCCTCCCATAAACTTACGCTAGTTTGGCTGGGCGCAGTGGCTCAAGCTTGTAATCCCAGCACTTTGGGAGTCCAAGGCGGGTGGATCATGAGGTCAGGAGTTTGAGATCAGCTTGACCAACATGGTGAAACCCTGTCTCTACTAAAAATACAAAAATTGGCCAGGTGTGGTGGTGCACGCCTGTAATCCCAGCTACTCAGGAGGCTGAGGCAGGAGAAGCACTTGAACACGGGAGGCATAGGTTGCAGTGAGCCAAGATTGCGCCACTGCATTCCAGCCTGGGTGACAGAGTAAGACTCTGTCTCAAAAATAAATAAATACAAAATAAAAAAACTTAGGCTAGTTCTAGTTTTTCTTTTTGCTTTGAGACAGGGTTTCACTCTGTATCCCAGCCTGAAGTGCAGTGGTGAAATCATAGCTCACTGCAGCCTTGAACTCCTGGGCTCAAGCAATCCCCTTGCCTTAGTCGCCTGAGTTGCTGGGATTATAAATGCACACCACCACACTTAGCTGATTTTTAAATTTATTTTTGTAGAGATGGCGGCGGGGCAGGGTGGAATCTCACTTTGTTGCCTAAGCTGGTCTTGAATTCCTGGCCTCAAGTGATCCTCCCACTTCGGCCACCCAAAGTGCTGGGATACCAGGCACGAGTCACCATATCTAGCCTGGCCAGTTCTTGTTTCAGAGCCAACCATGAGAGAGACAGGCGCCAGGAATCTTAGCTCACTCTTTCAGTGGAGCTGGAAATTAAAACTTACTGTGAATAGAACCAATACTTGTTCTAGAGCTAGGCCCTGGATTCCTGTGTAAACCTGCTGTATTGGCTCAGCTGGCAGTCCTTGACTCTGTCTCCCTGCCAAGAACTCTAGTTCCATAGTAGTCTTGAACTTCTGTCCTGAATATGGTTTACTTGGCTGGGCCCTGCCCTAGAAGGCCAAATTCTGATTGCTGTATTTTATTATCTAGAACACAGGCTACTTTTATAACCATTGCTAAGATCCTTATTAGTGGCAGGAAAAGAGATTAAAGACAAGAGCTAAAACTGGTCCTAGTCCACCCCACTCTGCTCTCTCCCTCTCTCCCTGTCTCCAACTAATATGTATTCCTTCCAGAAGCAGATTTGCTATGATACTGATGAAACTTAAATGTCAGATTCTCTTATTTGCACAGGTCTCTTCTAGCCACCCCTGCCCTTTTAAAAATTTGAAATAAATGATTAAGCTTATGCCTTTGGTAGCTTTACATTCTTTTTTTTTTTTTTTTTTTTTGAGATAGAGTTTCATTCTTGCTGCACAGGCTGGAGTGCAATGGACTGATTCAGCTTACTGCAACCTCTGCCTCCTAAGTTCAAATGATTCTCCTGCCTCAGCCCCCCGAGTAGCTGGGATTACAGATGTACACCACCACAGCCAGCTAATTTTGAATTTTTAGTAGAGACAGGGTTTCTCCATGTTGGTCAGGCTGGTCTTGAACTCTCGACCTCAGGTAATCTGCCTGCCTTGGCCTCCCAAATTGCTGGGATTACAGGGGTGAACCACTGTGCCCAGATATATTCTTTTCCTTTAGTAGGGCCATTGAAATTGTATAAGCTTCAGACTCCCCCAAATACAGATTTGTCTAATTCCTACTAAGTACCAAGCATTATTTCCATCTCCTTAACATTGTCGCCGTCTCCCCCAGTAAGAATCCACTTGTAGGTCGAACTTATCCTAGCTTCTGAATCTGCCTCTGCAGCTGAGTTTTCCTCTATCCCATGTAGCTTGAGCTTGGCCATATCCTTCCCTTCTAATTCTGTTGCTCAGTAACAGCATGCTTAACCCTTTCCACCCCACCCTTCCATCCCAGGCCACTAATGCTATTTTGATAACTAAGCTGCCTGCCTGTCAGGTCTAGAATGGGGACTCCAAATTGTCACCTGAAAGGGTGGCACTTTGGCTGAAGGGAGATAGCTCAGGGATTTGTCTGGAGGCTATATCTGTTGTATATGCACTGTTCTTACTTGGATTATATTTTAGAGTGGCTTTTTTCTCTCTCCCAAGTTGCCCCTTGGTACTTTCACTAAGGTTATATCCTAACTCTCTTTCACTGGGGACTGGGTGGGCATAAAAGCAGTTATTTATTGGTAAATCTCCACTCAAAAAGAATCTTCACGACATGAAATTCTCCTCTGAAGCATTGTCAATTTGTAAGCATCCCTGGCTACCCTTTTCTTCCCCCCGCCGAGATGGAGTTCAGCTCTTGTTGCCCAGGCTGGAGTGCAATGGCATGATCTTGGTTCATTGCAACCTCCGCTTCCCAGGTTCAAGTGATTCTCCTTCCTCAGCCTCCCGAGTAGCTGGGATTATGGGCACGTGCCATCACGCCCAGCTAAGTTTTTGTATTTTTAGTAGAGACAAGGTTTCATCACGTTGGCCAGGCTGGTCTCAAACTCCTGACCTCAGGTGATCCACCTGCCTTGGCCTCCCAAAGTGCTGGGATTACAGGCGTGGGCCACCATGCCCGGCCTTCTGGCTACTGTTACTGGGAGGAGAGTTTCCTGGCTCCGTCTGTAGCTATAGTTAATTGTGGTTTATCTAACAATAATGGAGGAAAGAGAGAAATATAATAGAGAATAATAACGGAGAATAAAAGAGAAAAAGTAGTAGCTAGAAATACTTTATACCTGGTTTTCAGATAATTATAGCATTACTTTTGTAGCTGATCCACAAACTTTATTCTATTAGATTAACATTAAAAATAACATACATCAACTGGAAGCTGAAGCTTGTGTCTAAGACTTAGGCTAAGGATCAGGAACAAAACAACTAGGGATTGAAGTATCATCATAGTTTACAAAGGTGTGGAAGTATAGAAGGATAATTAGCTTCTTCATAGCAGAACTTATTCTGGAAAGTTACATGTTATTCTTAAATATATAACTCACTATGGATTCTATACTATTCTTGTATAAAGACTGATTATTCAGGAGATGCAGGTCATAAAACAAGTGTTGTATCTTCTCCTCCCGGTGACAGGCTCAGAAAAACCAGTGTTATCACAATAGGTAAAGAGTTTGATAATTTTTGGGAAGTATTCATTTTAATGGTTCTCTGCTTCTTGCTATCTCTGTTCTAGACAAAAGGTTGGTCTGAGGATATTTTTCTAATTATATTATTTATATTAACATTATAAATAATATATTTCTAATTATATTAATTATATTAACATGATTGAAAACACAGTAAGGCTCAGTCTTACCTTAAAGGAAATAATTTTGTTCTCACAGGAAAGAGTTGAAATTTTTCCACACTTCACGGAAATGGTTACAGCCAGACCTCTAGGCTCGCTATCTTTATACATATATATGATAAATATGGTCCGGGATGCATTTTCTGAAAAAAGTATAATAAATGAGAACTCTAGTCAGAAGAAATTTTGCACAGCAACATTTGTGAAAATTTAACCAAAGAACAGTCCTTAATACATTTGTTCCCACGTTGAGACTTGGCCAGTCTGCAGGAGACTATGTACAGCCGGTCGGACATTTTTAAAAACACATTTCAGTCCTGGCATGGTGGCTCATGCCTGTAATCCCAGCATTTAAAAGTTAAAAACAATCTTTTAAAATTCATATCTTTAAAATACTCAAAAAAGTTGTAGCATGTGTCTTGTAACACACATTAAACTGTGGGGTTGTTTGTTTGTTTGGGAGGCTGAGACTGGCAGATCACTTGAGGTCAGGAGTTTGAGCCCAGCCTGGCCAACATGGTGAAACCCCATCTCTACTAAAAATACAAAAATTAACCGAGCGTAGTAGTGTGTGCCTATAGACCCAGGTACTCGGGAGGCTGAGGCATGAGAATCACTTGAATCTGGAAGGAGGAGGTTATAGTGAGCTGAGATCGCACCACTGTACTCTAGCCTGGGTGACAGAGTCAAACTGTGTCTCAAACAAACAACTTCCAATTTAATATGTGTTACATATACATGCTACAACTTTTTTGAGTATTTTAAAGATATGAATTCTAAAAGCTTGTTTTTAACTTTTAAATGCTAAATAAAATATTTAAAATATATTTGTTAAGGTAAGCGTTCAGTATTTTTAAATAATGCACGTTCAACTGCTTTAATTCAGCCTAACTTTGATATTTGGAATTCATATTTTAGAAGGCACAGTAGACTTGATCATTTTCTTTTCAAGTTTTTTTTTTTTTTTAATTTTGAGACAAGGTCTTTACATCACCCAGGCTGGAGTGCAGTGGCTATTCATAGGCTTTATCACAGTGTATTTATAGCCTCAAAGTCCTGGCCTCAAGCAATCCTCCTGCTTGAGCCTCCCAAGTAGCTAGGATTACAGATAGATGCCACCACACATGGCAACTTAATCATTTTCTATTGTACTTTAAGTTTCTGGGGGAAGACAGACTCATTTGAAATGCGTATTTATTTTTAATATTTTGAAAACTATCAGCATTTTCAGCTGTAATGAGCAGGGATTAAGCAACCAACTATAGAGGTTTTAAACAGTTAAAGCAATCATAATGAAGGGATCGGTGATTCAAAGGTAGGCTCAGAGTGGCAAGACCCCTATCAATGTCTTATTGTATTCAATTTTTTACCCCAGCTAAAAAACGTGGATGCCTTATAAAGTTTCTTGTAAGTAAAATTGTCATTACTCCTGTGACTTTTCATCTGAGGATTGGGATTAGTAGGGAAAAATATAAGTGGTAAAACAGAATGAGAAGAAGTAGCTAGTCATTTCTGTTTGTGAATAAAAAAAATTACCTTCACAGTCAGAATCAGTCATATCCTCAAACAGAGGGTGATTTCCTTCACCAAGGAAGAGAACTTGGTCATCCAAATTTCTTATAATTGATAATTTGGATTTAAGCTTGGCAAAGTGATCTGTTTCCAGGTTTTCTATAATAAACATTAAATCTCATTAAAAATACATACTTTCTTTGTTAATCTACAAATAAGTATGCTATATATTTCAGTTTCGAAAAGTATTGATGACAATCTTCTGTTCCAGAAGCAGGCACAATAAAGTTGGCTATTTTCTTTTTAACCTAATCTCAAAGGCACACTCAGATTCTTGTTACCACTCAGAACTATTCTGCCTCTGAAATGTTAACTTCAAGTATCTTACTTTCTGACCAGTCTCTTCTCCTTTTAGTTTTCTTACACTTTTACTTCAACTATACGTTCTTAGATTTCACAACATCCTCCAGTCTCCTGACTCTTGTATTTCCCCTCTAACCTCTTCCTATCGTCCCTTCCTTCCCTGTGCAGCTGGATCTCAGAGTTCACTTTGTCTACCATTTTGCTGGGATATTAAATCCCTAACTCATTTGTCTTTCTGCTACAAAACTCCAAACATGGCTGCTGAGTGCTGCTGGTGAGCAATACAGCACAAATGTTCAAATCGGTGCCATTAAAGCATATCAGTTGTCAAAACTTCTTTTGCTTTCCAGTTCAGCACTCTCTTCCATAGTTCATAGCCGCAATTCCAAATTTTCTTTGCTCTCTTCAGGACCTCTCTACCATCATCTCTGCTTCCATTTTCAGCAAATGATTTCCTGCTCTGCGACTCCACTTGCAAACTTAACTCTGGCAGCACAGGAGTTGCTAAAGAAAACTAAAAGGAGAAGGGACTGGTCAGAAAGTGAGATACTGGAAGTTATCTCCTCTCTCCTTTTTGTCCCAAGGGGAAATGCGAAGGGCTGACTCCCATTTGTGCTCGGCACGTACCCTCCACTGAAACCTTGATTGACCAATCATCCTTCTCTTCTATCAACCCAGCAGTTCTACCTCCTAGATTTTCTCCTAAAAAAACAATCAGACAAATGTGTAAACATTTTTGTACAGGAATGCTTATGGGAACACTGTTAATAACAACAACAAACTGGAAACAAACATCCACCAATTAGGAATAGATTAAATAAAAAGGGCAAAGATATGCCCTTACTGTGAAATGTTATGACTTTAATATAACTGCAATTACTCATTGCCATGGAGAGATGTCCACATATATCACTAACTAGAAAAAGCAGCTTAGGTATGGTATAATCCCTTTTAATATAAATATAGGCATTTCTGTGTCTGTATATAGATATATTGAAAGAAGTATAAATATATTGTATCAAAATGGTAGCTATCATTATTTCTGGGTGGTTTTCATACTTTTATCTTTCATACTTTTTTCATTGCCTGAATTAGTTATAATGAACACATTTTCCTAATCAAAAAAGCACAAAGTTCTTTATTTTGAGATTTAAAACTGCTCCATCAACCCAGTCTCACCTTGCAGTTAGTCTTGTGTCTCTCTTCCTTTTAACCACCAAGCTTTTAGTAAGAATTGTCCATATCATTTCCTCACTTTCCATTTACTCTTTTACTCATTGCAATCTGCCTCTGCCTCCATTTCACCATCAAGTTGCTTTCATTGAGATCACCAAACTCCTTGTTACTGAACTAAGAGCTATGTTGCGGCCCTTGATTCTCAAGGCTACGAAATTCAACACAATGCCTATCCCCTCAGTCCTGAAAAGCTCTCCTGGGAGTTGGTGGAATTCTCTTGGTTTTTCTTCTTCCTTTTTGGTTAGTCTTCTCTCTGTTCTTTATTAGCTTCTCTTTCTAGCTCCGTTAAATGTAGGTATTCCCCCCAGTTTAGTACTTGGCTTTTACTCTCACTACACATTTCCTCTGATTTGTCTTTTTATTGCTATAGATTCAGATGCCATTTCTATGCATAAGCCTTCAATGTCTCTATCTCCCGCCCAAATCTTTGTCCTGAGCTCAGAACCACATGTACCAGAGTTTACTAGACATCTCTACTAGGATGTTCCGCAGACATCTCAGCTCCAAAACTAAATTCGTCATCCATCGTCCTCTTTGTATGCACCAAAACCTGCTCTTCCTCCTGTGTTTCCTATTTCGTGGACTGGTACAAATTGCCTAAGTGAAAAACACAGGCATCATCTTTTCTACTCTCTTCTCCTTTCCAAATCCAACCCTAAATCATGTCCCTTTGATTCTCTCAAGTGTTTCTAAAATCCATTCACAGCTCCTCATCAGCACTCCACTAGGTCTACCTTAATTCATGACACCATAGTTTCCTGTAAGAACTAAAATAACAGCCTCTCAACCCTTTTTTGTCCTCCTCACCCCTCACCATCAATTCTTTATACCAAAGCCAGAATGATATTTTAAAAATATATCATTTCTGAATTTTAAAGAGTCATATGGCTACCTGGAATAAATATTATATTTTCCAGATTTCCTTGCATATGGTGTGGCCATGTTATTAAATTCTAGTCAATGGAATATGAGGGGAGTTGATGTGTACAACTTCCGGTTAGAGTCATTGAAAGGAATGAGCCTGACTTCCTCTTGTCTTGACCCTTTCTTGATAATGCTGATGTGGACCCAGGAAGTATGATGATTTTCAACTATGTGAATGAGACCAGCAACTGGGGGATGATGGGTAACAAGACTGGAGAATGTCTGGGTCCCAATATCATCAGGTTGCCTCCAGCCATACCACTTCTGAGCTGCCTACTTAGACTTTCTTTGAGAGAAAAATTTTCTATCTTATTCAGCTACTGTATCTTTGGATGTCTTTGTTACGAGAAACTAATCTTTACCCTAGCTAATACATACTGTGCTTAATTAACTCTATTATCTCCAAGATAAAGTCCAAATTTCACATCTTGGAGTAAGAGAAGGTCCTGCTCTACAACCTAATGATCAGTCCAGCTTCTCTCATCATTCTCCTACTCCTACTCTACTTCCATTCTGAATTACCCTGAATTCATCATTAACGCCACGGTTTCTTTCAGATCTTGGCATTTTAATGTGGTCTTCTTGCCCCATCCATTCATATCTCCTCTACTTCTAGAATTTTCTGCCCCCCACCCCCACCAACCTGGGAACCTCCCAGGCTTCTTCCCAAAGCATTTCTGAGAGGAGGTGTTATTGATTTTGGACAATTCTAATGCTTCAATCCCCTTTTCCTATGCAACCCGCCCTGTCCCCTCAACAGAATCCACAACTCCCTGTTAATATTAGGACCTATGAAACAGGCAGGGTCTATTTTGTAGATTCTAAGAGCTGGAGAATTTTTGAGGATTTTTTAAGGCGTAGGGAAGCATCTTTTGCTAGAGGTTCTTTATATCTCTTACGGTCATCTTCATTCCGAAGCTGTGCTACTGAGTCCACATTCCTCTGAGGGAAGATTGGTTTTCCAGACAGATTGGTATCATGTGAACCATTTTTTTCTTGGCTGACAATGGTGATATAGATGTGTCTCAAGCAGATACTTAGTTTGCAAAGAAAAATAAATTCATTTATACTTTACCATCATCTTCAGCTAAGGGGAAAAAAAAGAAACAGAATATGTAAAATTTTGTATTTGACTCAAAATTTCCTCTCACCCCAGCTTCTACTTTTGCTACTCCTCTTTCTCGAGCTCCTACTTTTATGGTGATGGTCTGTCTTGGCTTTCATCAGAATATTATATAATCATCCAAAAGGCCCATAAAATGAAGCTCATCACACTTAGTGTGTTCTCAGGTAATTTAGACATAAAACCATAAAACTTAAACCCAGGGTTTAACAATTTCAAAATGTAGCTAGAAATAAATTTTATAAAATGATAGATCACTTAAGAATTTTTTACAAAGGTTTTTTTTTTTCTTTTTGAGACAGGGTCTACTGTCATGCAGCCTGGAGTATCGTGGTGGGATCACAGCTCACTGCAGGCTTGAATTCCCAGGCTCAAGCCATCCTCCTGCTTCAGCCTCCGAAGTAGGTAGGAGGTATGTAGAGATGAAGTCTCACTTTGTTGCCCAGGCTTTTAAATGAAGGTTTCAGATGAAGGCAAACTTTCTAATGAAGCCAAATTGCTCACAGATTAATCATCAGAATCAATTTTTAGGCCAGTGTGGTAGTTCATGTCTGTAATCCCAGCACTTTGGGAGGCTGAGGCAGGCAGATCATCTGAATAAAGAATTTGAAATCAGTCTGGCCAACATGGCAAAACCCCGTCTCAATTAAAAATACAAAAAATTAGCCAGGCATGGTGGGGTGCACCTGTAATCCCAGCTACTCAGGAGGCTGAGGCAGGAGAATTGCTTGAACCCCAGAGGTGGAGGTTGTAGTGAGCAGAGATCATGCCACTGCACTCCAACCTGGGCAACAGATAGAAAAAAAAATAAAAGGATCAATTTTTACTTGTCAAACATATTTACATAAAATGGTATAACTCACAGAACTCTAAATTTAGAGACTCTCTTACATAATTTGCCAATTTGCTTTGGGAAATTGTATTTCCTGAATGCAGCCAGTTTTGTACTGGGATTTTTGCCATGGAAATCCCATGAAAACTGGGATTTCTTTTTCTTTCTTTTTTTTTTTTTAAACTGGGATTTTCATGATGTGCACTTACTGCCACCTGGAGAGTGAGCCACTGGTAATTAAAGTGCCAGGACATGTGGTGTGACTAGGTGCTAGACCTTGGATATGTTATGGTTAATTTCTAGAGGTCCACTAACTTTTTAAAGAGTCATTATTATTATAATGAAATTTGGTGACAAAAAGAGTCACTTAATAGTTCACCCCACAACATCTTTTCTAGTTGAATAGATTTATCTGAACCTGGTATTTGTTTTACGGCATTAGCCTTACCTCTAAAGTAAAGTGTATCGCCAGTAAATTTCATTTCCACAAAGTTGATGCAATTGTATTCTACTGGTTCAGCAGCCATCTTTATTCCTAAGGAAAGCAAAGAGCCATCTGTTAAAAGATAACGATTGTCCCTTTTACTACTACTTTACACTACCTTCAAGTTCAGAGGTCAGTTAACCTCCTAGTATACCAATGAACAATCTGGACATTTAATAAATGCCAGAAGTTTCAGCTTATGAATACCCATGTCTAAATGTTCTCTTACAAATCATCAGATATTCGGAATATAGAAAGATTTTCTCATTAAACAACATTATAAAGGGCAGATAGGCCAGGTGCGGTGGCTCACGCCAGTAATCCCAGCACTTTGGAAGGTCGAAGTGGGCACATCACCTGAGATTGGGAGTTCGAGACCAGCCTGACCAACATGGAAAAACCCCATCTCTAAAAATACAAAATTAGCTGGGTGTGGTGGCGAATGCCTGTAATCCTAGCTACTTGGGAGACTGAGGCAGGAGAATCGCTTGAACCCAGGAGGTGGAGGTTGCGGTGAGCCAAGATGGTGACATTGCACTCCAGCCTGGGCAACAAGAGCAAAACTCCATCTCGGGGAAAAAAAAAAAAAGGCAGATAAGTGGCCCACTACTGAACTGAATCATTATTCTAATATTCCTTGAGAAATAGAAATATATTATCAATATAAATGTAATTTCATTTGGGGATGCCAGAAACACATCTAATCCTGCCCTTTAAGAAGAACTGACTTCATCCTTTTCTTATAATCAGTGGGTTCCTGTGGGTGAGAGGCTGAAAGCTTATGACTTCATTGTCAAAGTGCTAAAGATGAAGCAATAATAAAAAATGCTTCCACCTGAGAGTAGAGGCAGGGTAGGAGGCTGAAGGGCCCTGAAGGGCATTTGGTGGCCCTCTTTCTCCATGAGTAGTAGTGGTTTTTGATCTGGAGTCTAGATTATACTATGTTTTTTTTTTTTTGAGACGGAGTTTCGCTCTTGTTGCCCAGGCTGGAGTGCAATGGCGCGATCTCGGCTCACCGCAACCTCCGCCTCCTGGGTTCAGGCAATTCTCCTGCCTCAGCCTCCTGAGTAGCTGGGATTACAGGCATGTGCCACCATGCCCAGCTGATTTTTTGTATTTTTAGTAGAGACGGGGTTTCACCATGTTGACCAGGATGGTCTGGATCTCTTGACCTCATGATCCATCTGCCTCAGCCTCCCAAAGTGCTGGGATTACAGGTGTGAGCCACTGTGCCCGGCTGGTTTTTAACTCCTGGACTCAAGTGATCCTCTCTCCTCAGCCTCCCAAAGTGCTTGAGATTAAAGGCATGAGGCACCACACCCAGGCCTCATTTAACAGTTTTATCTAGGTTTATTTATGTATGCTCATCTAAATGTGAATAGTTATTAAATTTATCTTATTTAAATAACTTTTTTTTTTTGAGATGGAGTCTCACTCTGTCACCCAGGTTGGAGTGTAGTGGTGAGATCTCGGCTCACTGTAATACCCACCCCACCCCTCTCACCTGGCCTCAAGTGATTCTCCCACCTTAGCCTCCCAAGTAGCTGGGACCACAGATGCATGCCACCACACCCAACTAAGTTTTTGTATTTTTGGTAGAGATGGGGTTTCACCATGTTGCCCAGTCTGGTCTCGAACTCCTTGGCCTCCCAAAGTTCAGGGATTATAGGCATGAGCCACCATGCCTGGCCAACACATTTAAATAAAATAAAAACTGATGTACAAATACATTTAAATATTATAAAGTATTTATAATATTTAAATTTACAATTTTGGTTTATCACCTAGTTTTTTAAAGGCGGGATAAGGAGACTCTTAGAGAAAAATAATATAGCAAAGCATGAAAAGGTCGCTAAGTCTAAAACTTTTTAGGCTAGAGTGCAATGGCAGTCTCTGCTCACTGCAACCTCCACCTCCCAGGTTCAAGTGATTCTCCTGCCTTAACCTCCCGAGTAGCTGGCATTACAGGTGTGTGCCACCACAATCGGCTAATTTTTGTATTTTTAGTAGAGACGGGGTTGCACTATGATGACCAGGCTGATCTTGAACTCCCGGCCTTGTGATCCACCCACCTCGGCCTCCCAAAGTGCTGGGATTACAGGCATGAACCACCGCGCCTGGCTCCAACTCTAAAATTTTTTTTACCAAAGCCAAAACCAACTTTAATATTAAAAATCAGGACAATAATGACTAGATTGTGAGCTCCATGAGGGCATTTTCTTTATTCACCTTTATGGTTTCATTGCTGAACGTGGCCTTGTTATAAGTGTCAGAGTATTTGTTAATGACTGCATTAACTGAGAAGGCAGACATTTGTTAATCTGAAAGGGACTCTGTGTTTTGATTAGTTATCAGTTGGTGAAATAATGACTAGCATAATCTTCTCTACAAACTTTAATATTACATAACATACACATATTTATTAAAGTAATTCACCTGAAAAGCACCAAGCAGTGGGCAGGAATCAGATTAAATTACTAGTGCTTACCACTTTGAGTACATAGTTACTCAATGGCGAATGGATTTAGAGAAGGGCAATAATTGACCTGATTCACCAGTTAAGGTTTGATCATCAGCTAGGCATCAGGAATGTGTCTAGAAGCTGATTGAACCACACATAAATGACAGTTAGCTACTACCCTCCAGTGACTCAAGAGTCTAATGGGAGAGAAGAATCTATAAGGAGTTACAAAATAATATAATGGATGATGTAAGAGCTGGAGGTACAAGAGATTCATTCTTTCTGTTTGATGGTGCTGGAGAAGGTTACCATAGGAAGTGATGACTGTGCTGCCTTGAAAAAGAAGCAGGTGTTTTCAAGGCCAGGGGAAGAGCCTCCACCAGGAAGAAACAATGTGAACAAAGGCTAGGCAGCAGGGAGACAGAGAACATGGGTTGAGGCCTCAACATTTTTACCATAAACAAGGCAAATATGATCACATTTTACAGAAAAAATGCATTTCTAAAGATCTCACATAGTTCAAGATTAACTTTTCTTTTCTTTCCTTTTTTTTTTTTTTGAGATGAAATTTTGCTCTTGTTGCCCAGGCTGCAGTGCAATGGCACTATCTCAGCACACCACAGCTTCTGCCCACCCGGGTTCAAGCAATTCTCCTGCCTTAGCCTCCTGAGTAGCTGGTATTATAGGAATGCATCACCATACCCAGCTAATTTTGTATTTTTTTAGTAGAGACAGGGTTTCTCCATGCTGGTTGGTCTCAAACTCCTGACCTCAGGTGATCCACCTGCCTCGGGCTCCCAAGATGCTAGGATTAAAGTTGTGAGCCACTATGCCCAGCCAAGATTAACTTTTCTTTGGGAAAAATGTAAAAGCATGAGAGGAGATATTCTTGGAGTACATAAACCTACAACAACCAAAGCATATTCTTGCTTTCTTTCTTCAACTTTCTTAGCATTATTACTAGTGTTTTATAGCCTGCTCTCTCCACACAGACTATCATGGTGGTATTTGGCCTTTTTAATACTGTTTTCTTGAATGTAACTTTTGTTTCAACATATTTATTTGGAGTTTTTTTTTTTTTCCACACAGCAGTAACCATACATCCCTTAGCCCTTGGATAACATTATCATATATATATATATATAAAATTTTTTTTAAAAGATGGGGTTTCACCATGTTGGTCAGGTTGGTCTTGAACTCCCAACCTCAGGTGATCCACCCACCTTGGCCTCCAAAGGGCTTGGATTACAGGTGTGAGCCACCACACCCGGCCTATAAAAATATTTTAAGTTATGTTAAAAAATAGCACAATAATAACCTGTATGTCTGAAGAACTTCTGAGATAAAGCCTAATTTACATAACACTAACATGGAAGCAGATAATTCTACCAGGCATAAGAGACATTTGCATGTGGCAAAGTAACAGTTTATAACTCATCTCACCTACCAGCTTTGAAATTGTGTCATTCTAGATAAACTATTTGGAAGAGTCAACATTATATCCATTTTGCCCATATAAACTATAATTTTTATATTTTGCCTAATTCAATTCACATAAAATGCAACTTGCAGTGTAGTTTGATGAAAGCTTGGAAAGAAGAGTCAGATTACAAAGGCCTTGTGTAAGCAAGCTAAAGAGTTTGAACTTTTTTTTTCCTGAAAAAAAGTAATGACTTAAATAGGAGAAAGATATGGTCAAATTTGTGTTTTAAAAAGCTCACTCTAGAAGCAATGGAGAGAATGGATCTGGGCCAGGCATGGTGGCTCACGCCTGTAACCCCAGCACTTTGGGAGGCCGAGGCAGGTGGATTGCTTGAGATTAGGAGTTTGAGGCCAGCCTGACCAACATGGTGAAACCGCGTCACTACTAAAAATGCAAAATTAGCCAGGCGTGGTGGCACACACCTGTAGTCCCAGCTACTCGGGAGGCTGAAGCAGGAGAATTGCTTGAACCTGGAAGGTGGAGGTTGCAGTGAGCCAAGATCACACCACTGCACTCCAGCTTGGGCAATAAGACGAAACTCTGTGTCAACGATAACAACAACAACAAAATGGATCTGATTGAACAAAATTGGACAGAGGTCAAACAACAACTACAGAAGCAATTTTAATAGTTACGAGTTTTTTTTTTTTTTAATTGACGGAGTCTTGCTCTGTCACCAGGCTGGAATGCAGTGGCGCAATCTTGGCTCACTGCAACCTCCACCTCCTGGGTTCAAGCGATTCTTCCGCCTCAGCCTCCTGAGTAGCTGGGACCACAGGCGCGTGCCACCACGCCTGGCTAATTTTTTTGGTATTTTTAGGGGAGACGGGGTTTCACCATGTTGGCCAGGATGGTCTCGATCTCTTGACCTCATGATCCACCTGCCTCGGCCTCCCAAAGTGCTCGGATTACAGGTGTGAGCCGCTGAGCCCGGCCGACCAGTTAAGAGTCTTAAGAGATGAGGTTATAAACTAAGGTAGTGAATTCAAAAGATACTAAGCAGCAGGATTTTCCAGCTAGTCTGTTGTGGGTCAAACAGAAGAAGGAGGAACTGAGGGTGACTTTGCAGTTTTTGGCTTGGGCAATTTGTTGAGTGGTTACTTCATTGACAAGAAAAAAGAGAATGAAAAAACAGCTCAGATGGAAAATAATTAGTCCAGTTTTATAAATCTGAGATGTGTCACAAAAGTCATGAGAGAAAGGGTTTCAGGAGGGGCTGCTTGAAATCAGAAACGGTGGAGCTCATAATTTATATATAAGCTTAAACTTCTTTATTGAATTTAGCAATTAGGAAGTTTTGGGTAACTGCGGAACACTTTGGGTAAAGTGGAGTGAGCAGATGGTAGGAGGATAAGTATCTAGGACAGAATGGGAGGGGAAAAAGTAAGGACAGTGACTACAAACCATTCTTTTAGGAAGTCTGGCTACAAAAAGAGTTAGGGTAGTCGTTACTGGGAAGGGGGTGGGGGGTGGGTAGCTATATACAATGTACAAATTTTAATTTGACTCCAGATACATAGTTCCAATTGTAAGAGATCTAATAAATTACTTTTCAAAACATGTCCTAGTTACTTGCCTAAAACGGAAACCTGGGGGTCGTTCTTAACTCCTTTGTCTAAACTTTCCCTTGTCTGATAAATACAGTAGATTCTAACTCAGAAATGTCTCTAGAATTTGGTATCTCCTCGCTGTCTCCAACAGCACTGTTTTAAGTCAAGCCCGCATCACCCCTGGCATTTTCTATTTTAATACTCTTCTACTTGGTTTTCTTGCTTCCAGACTCTCCTCCATTGTTCCAGGTTTATTCTCTCTGCCAGGCCAGAACTACTTCCCCTGCTTTTTTTTTTTTTTTTTGCCTGCGAACCTTGCCTCATCTTTCATCCTGTAACTCCCAGCTTTAATAGTTTCTCTAGGAAAACTTCCTGCTCTTTAATTCATAGCTAATTATTCTCTTCTCAGAGTCCCACCTCCCTCACATTTGTTCATGTTTCTTAAATAGCTCTTACAACCCTGAATTGAGATTACTTTGATTAAAAATAGGTCTGTTCAGCTTCCTTCTGAGTTTTAAGACAATTAGTTGTCTTTTCCTCCCCGAATCTTTAACACCTGGAAAAAGCTTATCACACAGTCGGAACTCAATAAATGTTCTATGAATAAGAGTTTGCTATGATAAACCTTACTGCCATGACAACAGTGTAGAAAGGGATGTGTAGAAGTTTTTTTATCTTAAACTTTCCCTCCACCTGAAAGCCAATGAGAAGGAGGAAGAACATGAGAGAAGCCTAAAAACAGAATTTTAAAAATAGAATAATTTTTCTAATGTCGTCTCCAATTTTTCTCTAGTAGTTTCTTATGTCATATGTTTATTCTGAATTCTTTATTCTTATTTTATTTTATTTTTTTTTGAGATGGAGTTTCACTCTTGTTACCCAGGCTGGAGTGCAATGGCACGATCTCGGCTCACTGCAACCTCCGCCTCCTGGGTTCAGGCAATTCTCCTGCCTCAACCTCCTGAGTAGCTGGGATTACAGGCACGCGCCACCATGCCCAGCTAATGTTTTGTATTTTTAATAGAGACGGGGGTTTCACCACGTTGACCAGGATGGTCTCGATCTCTTGACCTCGTAATCCACCCGCCTCGGGCTCCCAAAGTGCTGGGATTACAGGCTTGAGCCACCGCGCCCGGCTGTTATTTTCTTACAATTCTTCTTGTTCTCAACACATCTATGATTAATTGCAAGTGGTGGGTTCTTATCTCGATTTCTCCTCCCCTCAATTTTCCTCTTCCTTTCTCATCCATATTTCTTTGCTTCAACGCTAATCTATGAAAATTTTAGTATCCATTGGATAAAAATCTTTTGACTATTTCACCTAAAATTCTCAGACTACTGACTTTTTTTTTTTTTTTTTGAGACGGAGTTTTGCTCTTGTTACCCAGGCTGGAGTGCAATGGCACGATCTCGGCTCACCGCAACCTCTGCCTCCTGGGTTCAGGCAATTCTTCTGCCTCAACCTCCTGAGTAGCTGGGATTGCAGGCACGCGCCACCATGCCCAGCTAATTTTTCGTATTTTTAGTAGAGACAGGGTTTCACCATGTTGACCAGGATGGTCTCGATCTCTTGACCTCGTGATTCACCTGCCTCGGCCTCCCAAAGTGCTGGGATTACAGGCGTGAGCCACCACGCCCGGCCCGACTTTTTTTTTTTAAAGTTATAAACCACCTCAGAAAGATCCTCCCAGGAGTAAGCAGTGACAATTTGTTCTTTAAAACAAACAAACAAAAAGTTTTAGTTATTGCAATACTTTGAAAACTAGGCAGAGGCTAGTGAATGGCAGAATTTCATTATGGAAATTAGGCCACATGAGTTCCAGTTTTGTCTGGGGCAAGTCACTTAATTCTAAGGGTCTCAGTTTCCTCATTTGGACAAGGAAGTTGGATAGTCAATCTTTAAGGTCTGTTTCACCTCTAGCAACCTGCAATTCTAGACTCTAGTTAAGGCTGTAAGGAGAGAACCATTAATATGTGGCAAATGGCCTAGTAACCACTTCTTCATAGTTCTAAGATAATACATATTTATGGAATATTTATTATACAACCAGCATTGTTAAGCCACTAAGAGTTTAGAAACATACTATTAGGCCAGGCAAGGTGACATATGCCTGTAATCCCAGCACTGTGGGAGGCATCACTGTACTCCAGCATGGGTGAGAGAGCAAGACTGTGTCTCGAAAACAAAAAATCACCTGACTCACTTGAGGTCAGGTGTTCGAGACCAGCCTGGCCAACATGGTAAAACCCTGTCTCTACTAAAAATACAAAAATTAGCCAAGTATAGTGGCACGTGCCTTGTAGTCCCAGATACTTGGGATGCTGAGGCAAGAGAATTGATGGAATGAGGTGGAGGCTGCAGAGAGCCAAGTTCATGCCACTGTACTCCAGCCTGGGTGACAGAGCAAGACTCCATCTCAGACAACAACAACAAACATACTAGTAGATTAAAAGTTAAAATGCCTTAAACTTGAAAAGCAACTATGATTATGTTTATCCTTGCTGTGGAATTCCAATCCTGTTGAATAGGTATGGTATAAAATGAGGGAGCATGCTACATAACTAATTGCCTGAAATCAGGTAAATAGTTATCTTGACAGCAACAAGATCAAAACCTAAGTTTTCAGTTCTTTTTTGTGTGTGTATGTGACTGACCCACAAACTTTTCAGTTCTATAAATCATTTGTCCTTGAAAACTTTGCCATCTTATTATGAATGTGTGTATGTGAGTGTGGAAGAGGTGAGAAGAGAAGAAAACTTTAAAAATTAGATAATTAATTATAAAAGTCATAATTAATAAACTGCTAAATACAGACTCAAAACAAAATATCAAAATGGAACTGATGTAGTTTAAATGGCCTAGTTTGAAAAGGAGAATTGAATTGAATCTCAAAGAATGCTTAAAGATATGAATAGAGAAGGAAATGGACCAGCATTTATGCGATAAGCAAAACAATGATGTGTTGGAGGTGAACTGAATAGAGTGATTTTTTGTTTTCGAGACACAGTCTTGCTCTCTCACCCAGGCTGGAGTACAGTGATGCGAAAAACACAGCTCACTGTAGTCTTGACCTCCTGGGATCAAGTGATCCTCTCGCCTCACCCTCCTGAGTAGTTGGGACTACAGGCACGTGCTACCACGTCTGACTAATTTTTTGTATTTTTTTGGAGAGACAGGGTTTTGCCATTCCACTCAGGCTGCTTTTGAACTCCTGAGCGGAAGGGATCCACCTTCCTTGGCCTTCCAAAGTGTTAGGATTATAGGTGTGAGCCACTGTACTTAATCTCATAGGCAATAGGAAAACATTGCAGATAAAAAGTTATTTTTGAAGAAAGTTTTTTTTTTTTTTTTTTTTTGAGAAAGTCTCACTTTGATGCCCAGTGGCCCAGTTTACCACAGATTCAACCTCCTGGGCTCAAGCAATCCTCAGTATCCTCAGTAGCTCTACAGGCATGCACCGACACACCCAGCTAATGATTTATGTTTTGTAGCGTTGATGCTGCCCTGGTTGTTCTCAAATTCCTGGGCTCAGGCAATCCTCCTGCCTCTGTTTCCCAAAGTGCTGAGATTCCAGGCATGAGCTACTGCAACTGGCCTGAAGGAAAATTTAATAGAACTTTAAGTAGCTTAATATAGGCAAAAAGAGGAATTTCAGTTGTCCCAAAATTTAGGGTGTCCTAATTTTTGTTATTCAACTTCAAATAGAGATATTTATTTAGCCCTTCCCTTACTGTGAAACAAAATTATCCTGGGAAATTCTATCTTATCCAATTGTAGCCAAGCCCAAAGGTGTTAGGGGCAGGTTCTAGAAGATGACCAACCATGGGCAAATTTTTTGCTTGATTTTAATGTAACTGATTCTGTCTTGAGACTCGCTTTAAAGAGAAGCTTATTTATTTTACCCCTCTAAAATAGTGATTCTCAGGAAGTTCTCTTTTTTTTTTTTTTTTTTGAGACAGAGTTTCACTCTTGTTACCCAGGCTGGAGTGCAATGGCGCGATCTCGGCTCACCGCAACCTCCGCCTCCTGGGTTCAGGCAATTCTTCTGCCTCAGCCTCCTGAGGAGCTGGGATTACAGGCACGCGCCACCATGCCCAGCTGATTTTTTTGTATTTTTAGTAGAGACGGGGTTTCACCATGTTGACCAGGCTGGTCTTGATCTCTTGACCTCGTGATCCACCCGCCTCGGCCTCCCAAAGTGCTGGGATTACAGGCTTGAGCCACCGCACCCGGCCAGGAAGTTCTTAAAGTGAAAGCTATTTCTAATAATTCTAAGATGTAATTCGTCTTTTTCACTCATTCTCTCATGAGCGTACAACAGAGTTTACCAGAGGCTACATTCTGTGCAATATTGCAGTAGTCTGAATGCAAAGAGATGAGAATCCAGCTCATCTATCTGGCTTCTATTAAACCAGTTAAAACACTTGTAGAAAAAAAAGTGTTACTCTCTACGCTTGTTTTTTTGTTGTTGTTTGAAAAGTACATAGTTGGCCGGGTGCAGTGGCTCACGCCTGTAATCCCAGCAGTTTGAGAGGCCGAGGCGGGTGGATCATGAGGTCAGGAGTTCGAGATCAGCCTGGCCAACATGATGAAACCGTGTCTTTACTAAAAATACAAAAATTAGTTGGGCGTGGTGGTGCGTGCCTATAGCCCCAGCTACCTGGGAGGCTGAGGCAGGAGAATTGCTTGAACCTGGGAGGTGGAGGTTGCAGTGAGCCAAGATTGTGCCACTGCACTCCAGCCTAGGTGACAGAGTGAGACTCTGTCTCAAAAAAAAAAAAAAAAAAAAAAAATGAAAAAAAGTATAGTCATCTTTAATTAAAATTGTTACTTATGCTAACGTGATATGCTTAGTGTAAATAAATTATGAGAGCAAAAAGTTTGAGAACCTCTCCTCTAAAGTGATACTCTCCCACGTTTAATAAAAGAAAATAATTCTATTCTGACTTTGCTTATATTTCTTACGTTGACACTGCTCATTGTAGTGATGTTAAATGGTTTATATTCCTCTCAATTGCTTTTCTAGCTTATTTTCGTCTAATTGCCATGGCTGGCTTTCTAAAATAAAGAGGAATGAAATTTCTTACCTGTCACAAATAGTTTCTTGCAAGTAGAAGCGATCTGGAAGGTCTGAGGTCCCTTTTCTCGTCCTGAGGCTATGTAGATTGCAGCAGCTGACAGCCACTTTAGCAGCTAGAGGTGGCAGCTGCAGCCAGAACTGGCAGCCAGGAGTGCACTGGGAAACAACTCCTTGCTGCCTGTGCAGGCAGTCGCCAGGGAAGCAAAGGGCCAGGAGCCGGGGAGAGAATGAGGAAGAAGGTGGAGGAGGGGAGGAGACTAATGCTGGCACGCCTTGGGCCCGCCTTCTAACAGGCTCTCTTGAAGTGGAAGAAGTTACGAGTATTTCTTTTCATGTAATATCACTATTTTAATGAAATATTTTCTTCTGTAAAAGTTGGGGCTCTGTGCCTTCCAAAACTTGTACCTTTTTCTGAAGTACACACAAACACTTTATGAAAGCACCTCCTTAGTCCATCAGAAGCATCTTCTTTTCTCATCTATCTCTCTTCATTTTCAGACTTCCTGGTCACATTTCATCACAAAGCTTTTTCTTACCTTACAATGCAGAATAATCAGTCCTATTGGGGTAATTCCTACAATGTTACAACACTTAAAATATTTCTAAAATTAACTTTTTAAGAAAGAAACATTTTGTAAAATATTTTCTTTTACTTTATAACCTCATTCAGGACTTCCCCTCCCTCCCAAGCTCAAAACGGTGTCAAAGGGTAGTTGATACAGGTCATTAATATTTACTTTTTAGTGGAACAGGAGTCCATTTTTATGAAACTTCTTTATCTGCTATATCAGATGCAAGCCACATGCATACCATCATTAGAATTTTATTTAACAATTTTAAAATTTCCTGCAACAGAAAGTAAGCTTGGGGAGAGAGATACCAAAATTCAGTTACAAGGGCAAATGTTTACTTAACAGTTTCCAGTGTTAAAACTTTCCATTCCTGGAATGATAGCAAAGACTGACTTAAAATATTTGAAATGCAATTTAAGGATACGTATTTTTAGGGCTTATGCTCATTTGTTAAAAAATAGTCTTATAAAATGCAACTTTTAAAGAGAAGAGCGTAAATATCACAGTCTTGAAAATAATTAGTGGAAACAGAATTTCTTAGCTATTTTTTTTTTGAACATGTGCTAAACTGTATTACTTTGCTAGGAAGGGAATTAGCAAGGTGGGATTTGTTTTCATTTTTTGCTAGTACAGAGATGGTATACAAACAGAGTGCTTCCTAGAGTCAGGGAACAAAATGCTTACATAAACACCACTTTTTGTTTGTTTTAAAAACAAGATAGGGTTTTCATTTTGGGAAGTCATAAAAACATCATGTCCTTCAGCAGTGATTACAAAGGAGGTCTGTGGCAGGGTGGTTGGAAGTGACTCGTGTGGTGACAATCAGAAGAAAAAAAATAGTACATTTAAGAAGTATATGATAAGAATACATAGATGACTAAAGTTGAAATAGTAAGTTTTCATCTTCCAACTATAGAGTCCAATTGGGCCAATTAACATGAAAGCATGAAATGGGATCAAGTAGTGATCAGAAGCGAGCACTAAACAAGCTCTAATTTTAAATATTCCATTGCCAATGAATTTTCTCCAGCTGTTAAAATGCAGAATGTACAATTTACACATTTTGAAGTTTTGGGACAAACATTTTTTTCTCTGATACAGAGCAATCCGTATGTCTCAGTGTCCTTTGTACTTCATAGAATTGTTTTTAAAGATTAAATGAGATAATGATGACAGCACTTTGAAGATTTTAAAGCTCTAGATAACAAGATCTATATTCTCTCACTTATTCTTACCCATTTCACTTATACAATTGATGTGAGATTTTAAAAATAAAATGTCCATAGCGTTCTCTTAACCTGACGAAAGCATTTATGCATTAGGTGGAATCATTTTTCCTGGAAATATTTTAAGAATCAGATGGATAACCACCTATTTGGATATCATACAATGTGAAGGCTGTGAGCTGAATTATATGAGTATTTTCCAGACCTTTGGATTTAATGAACCATTAAAAATAATAAGAGCAATCATGATAATAAGGAGGAAGAGATAAACATAGTGGACAACTCTATATTTTACCAAGAAAGGACACTTAAAAATGTAAAGTTTTAAAACTTTTTATTTCATAAAACTTATCTTACCTGTGCCCCCCAAATTAGGAAGGACATGGTATCAGAATAAAGGACAGTCCTTTAAAGTGGATGTATTTGACTTGATGAAAACTTTATACTGCTCAAGAGCCTGAAACGATAAAGATAAAAATCAAAGAAAACTAAACTTTCATTACTTTTCCCTTCATTTTACCACAGAGGGTAAAAATTCAACACAGATTGCTATTGTGTTTGGACAATTTTGAGACTCCTTACTTCTCCATAGTTATCTAGTCTAGTATTTAGCACGTGGCTTATATTTCACAATATTAGCAACTCAAATTAAACACATTGAGTGCTTATTTTCTAGGAACTTATTTAAAACAATTGGCTTCTTCACAAATAGCAAATACATATATACATACCCACTACTTGCAAGTCTTGATAACTAACATTTAATAAACAAAAGGAAAAAAAAATTAGTGATACATGTAAGTGTTAAATACAGTTCTCTAAGATGTAAGATTTTGTACCTGGAGCTTATGGATGGGTGTTATTGACCTTTGTGTTATCAGTTAATTTGCTTTGTTTTTTTTCTTCCACATCAACTAACTGGGCATAAACTTGGAATGTTTGTCTTTGAAATTGCAGGTCAAAGTCTCCAATTAAATGTTGTCACATTTGATAAGGCAAAGCTACAAGTATGTGAGCCACATGTATCACAGAATACTTTTTGATAGCTGCTGCCAATTAAATTGACTTATTGACAGATCTGGGAAATAATTTTTTAGGGAGGTGTGGTTCTGAAAGTTTGGTTGCACCAAAGATGAAGACGGTCAGGAACTGAGGCTCTGCATCCAAAAGCCTGGCTTGTAGACCAGGGGAACACGTGATTAAAACCTTCCTGCAAACAAACCATTTGCAAACGCGGTTTTAAACCCTTCCTGCAAGCAAACCAAGTAAATTTTGTTCTAAAAGAGGCCGTGGATGTGCTATTTTGTGTTCCTTTCCTGAAATTCCAAGCTGCTGAGACACACCCTGGCCTTGCTTTGGCAAGGCTTCCTTGTTCTTTCTTTGCCAGTTTCAGGTTTTATCCTGACTCAAACACACATAGGGTGACAGGGAGAGATTTTTTGTTTCACGACTATTCCAAGTCGAGGGGAATGGGCAGGAGAAACCCAGAAAAAAGCTGCCCTTCTGCAGGGCCAGGCTCTGGGAGGCTGCGGGCAGGGTGGGGCGGGGCGGGGCTGGGCGCGGGTGGGGGGGGGGCGACTGTCACGTGACTCGCGCAGGGGCTGATGGGAGTGCGGCCGCTATCTCCACGCACGAAACCCAGCACCCCGCCCCTCACGCCCGTGTGTTTGCTGAGGAGGAAGGTCCCCACACCACGAAGTACATTGGCCTTGGGGTGGGGCTGAAGGGATGGGCCCCTGTGAGAATGTAACTGAGTGTGACATAAGGAAGGGCAGGAGGATGGAAGCTTCTTCTGAGGGGCTCTAGTAGGACACAAGCATTAGTAGGGAGGAAGTGGGGAGGGGCGGCAGGAAGTGAGGAAAAATGGAGGTGAGATGGCCTGAGGGGCCAGAATGGCATTGAGAAGCGGGAGAAGACTAGAAGGAAACAGCTGCATGAGGCCGAGGGGACAGTGCTTAGTAACAGCCAGACCACTAAGCCTAAGGTCGCAGAGCCGGGGGTAGTGGCGGGTGTTTGTCACACGGCAAAGACCAGCCCGTCCACCATGCCTGGATCAGCTGAGGCCTTGAGCTATGACAGGAAAGCTAACTTATTTTTGCAGAAACAGACTTACCTGATCGTAAATTTTCATTTGACATAGGTGCACAGTGTTACTTTGGGAGAGAAGAGAAAGGTGAAGGAGAAAGAGAGGATTAGAAGGGGAAGGGGGAGTGAAAAAAATCCACCTTTTGGCTTCTCTGAAGTATTTTCCAACTACCAAGGCAAAGTTAACACTGCATGTACAATATTTTCTAGATACTATTAATACTATTACAGTACTTAAACTTACATATTATAAAGATACTGGGAGGAATGGAGATGTTCAATACAGAATTTACTTAACAAACATGTTTCTAATTTGTTGTTGCTCTTTCTGTTTTCTATGTATGCATGTTCTATAGGACGAATCAGAGTTACCCAAGTCGGCATTGTTTCTCAAAAACAGCAAAAAAACCTCAATTGATAGCGAATATGGACAGGGCTCCCCTAATCTCAAAGACATAGAGACTATACCCTTCCAGGTTTCAACATTTAGACTCCTAGGGAAAATGCCTTCCGAATTTATGGGAAAGTAAAAGTAAAATTTGAAGCTACTTTAAAGTAGGGTAGGACAGTGAGAATAATCTCAGACCCGAAGGGTGAGGAGATCTCGGTTCTAGTCTAGCTCAGCCTTAGGGTTTCACTGGGTCCACCATCACTGTACCTGTTTTCTCACTTTAAAAAAATGAGGTTGAATTAGATGAACTTTAAGACCTGTTTCAACGTTAAGATTTTGTGAAGATAGAAGAATCTTAACTGAGCCAGTCCTGAAACAAGGCAGAATTGCCAGAGAGGATCATTTGGCTAAGTACATAGAGAGGAGTAGTTGAAAATGACTGGACTAGTAGGCTGGCACCAGCTAATACGGGACCTTATAGGCCATACCATGGAATTTCATGGTATGGAACAATGAAAGTTTTTGAGTTAAGGGAATGCAGGAATCAGAGTTTTGATACCCAAAGAGCAGTTGATAGAATGATTTAGAGGAGGGAGAAATTGAGTTTAGGAAAGTGACAGATAATGACAGTCTAAATTAACAGCAGCAGTAGGAGTGGGAAAAAGGGAAGGATTCCAGAGAGCTGTAGCATGGAGTTGTACCTAAATCTGGCATTGTTCTAAGTTTTATAGCTGGTGCCTCCAGAATATGATGGCAAATCACCTTGTAAAGCCTGATACTAGAAATTGCAAGAGGCCAAGAGAATTGGAGGTAAGCTCTATTCTTGTGGAGCCTTAATCTTTTATTCTGTTTTACGTATTTCTCAAATTTCTTCCCTTTAAGAAAGCTCTATATATAGTAGAATTTAATATATTCATATTCCCAGAGCTGGGATTGTCCTACAACATAGCAGGGGCTTTGTTGATTCCAGCTGCTTTTTTCGCTAAGTACCGGCCTCCAAGAAACTATTGGGAGATTTGTTTTTGGTAGCTTGAGATCTAGAGACAGAAGTGAGTCTGTGCCTTTATGATACATAGGATTTTATGTAATTATTTTGCTGTGATAAGTAAGATACCTAGGTAATATAGTTACTGGTCTTTTTAAAGAAGAGCACAGTATAATGTCCTTTACTACTGCCCCTACCAATTGATCTGTTGCATTTGGGATGTGATTTGCTCCCTTGAAGATTATATTATTTTGCAAAATTTTGCAAGCATTTGGCCACTGTTTAAATTACAGTTTAGCTTCATTGCTATGAAAACATCGATTGGTTCAAGATACCAGACTCTTTTTCTTTCTTCTTCTTTTTTTTTTTTTTGTTTTACCAGACTCTTTTTCAACAGAAGTTTAAAACCACATTTAAAGTCTAATTTAAGGATGAGTGCACTGGCTCATGGCTGTAACCTTAGCGCTTTGGGAGGCTGAGGCAGGAGTATCGTTTGAAGCTAAGAGTTTCACATTGGCCTGGGCAACACTGCAAAACCCTATCTCTGAAAACCAAACCAAACCAAACCAAACCAAAACTAGCCAGGCATGGTGGAATATGCCTGTAGTCCTAGCTACTCGTAAGGCTGAGACAGGAGGATCACTTGAACTCAGGAGGCTTCAGTGAGCTACAATTGTGTCACTACACTCTGGTCTGGGTGACAGAGTGAGACCTTGTCACAAAAGCAAACAAATGAAAAGCAAAGTCTAGTTGAAAACCTAAATAAAATTTAATATGTTGAGCAAGGTGTTTCTTGGGCCTGTAAATTTCCTTAATAATAAAAGCTCAAATGACTAATTAAGTCATATACTTTCTAGCATGTTTGCCTTTTTCTGAAAAATGTTTTATTTGCTTTTTCTTATAAGCAAAATGTATATGTCCTGGAGATCTTATTGACTGTACCCGTTTTCTTTATTTTCTCCTGTTAGTCTCCAGTGCCAGATAGTCCACAGTTGCCTTCTCTTGGAAAATCAGATTCATCTTTCTCTGGAAGTTCTGGACTGTTTTATAAAGATGAAGCCTTGGAGAAAGATTTAAATGGTGATGTATAAAATGTTTATATTTCTGTACATCAGTTTTATAATGCAGAAGCTTTGTTATATTTTATAACTTACGTGATTTTTTTTAAACAGATGTGAGCAAGGAAATTAATCTAATGTTGTCTACCTATGCAAAGCTTTTAAGGCAAGTACCTATAGTATATTCTCTAGGTCTTTATGTTCGTTTTCTTCTGGAAACTCTGTAATGGGAAGTTTAATTCTGTGGCTGCCAAACCTCTCCAGTAATTAAAACTTTGGAATTTTTAATTCTACCTCAGTCCCTTATAATAGGTTGGTTGGTTATTTTCAGGGAATAGCCTCAACTTTTCCACTAAAAATCCTTTTTTTTTTTTTACTCTTGCTAAGTTAATACTAGACTGTATATACTTTGGTCTGTAATTAGATGACATTACATTTTAAATTTTATGTAAATACCTCTTCGAGAAACATGTTTGGTGAAATTAATGATTATGGAGTGATATTGAAGATAAATACTTACATCATAGAGAGTCAGCCTTTCATATTCATGGATACTGAGTCTGTAGATTCAACCAACCACACATTGAAAATATTTGGGAAAAAAATAATGGTTGTATCTGTACTGAACATGTAAAGACATTCTTTTCTTGTCATTATTTTCCAAACAATATAGTATAACTATTTAAATAGCATTTACATGGTATTAGTCTTATAAGTAATAATTTAAAGTATATGGGAGAATGTTCTTAGGTTATATGCCAGTACTATGCTGTTTTACATAAGGGACTTAAACATCTATGAGGGATGTCCCTTTGATATCTGTGGGAGATTTTGTAACCAATGCCCCATGGATACTGAGGGATGACTGTGTTTATATTTTACCTATATCTATTTTAAGACCAAATTTGAATATTTTATTAACCTGATGTCATGTTTTATAAAGCATTTTTTTTTATACTGCTGGACAGTCATTATACTTGGATAGTGGTTTGTGTGGCTGTAAAAATAATTATATAATTTAATATTAGTGTTATAACATATAAGATATATATAATCTTTTTTTGTTTTTGAGACAGAGTTTCGCTCTTGTTACCCAGGCTGGAGTGCAATGGCGCGATCTCGGCTCACTGCAACCTCCGCCTCCTGGGTTCAGGCAATTCTCCTGCCTCAGCCTCCTGAGGAGCTGGGATTACAGGCATGCGCCACCATGCCCAGCTAATTTTTTTTGTATTTTTAGTAGAGACGGGGTTTCACCATGTTGACCAGGATGGTCTCGATCTCTTGACCTCGTGATCCACCCGCCTCGGCCTCCCAAAGTGCTGGGATTACAGGCGTGAGCCACCGCGCCTGGCGATACATATAATCTTATAACATATAAGATTTCTGCTGTGTCAGGAGACCTTTTTGAGTAGTCAAAAATATTTGTGGGACTAATTTTTTTCCTGAAGAATATTAGTAAATTAATGAAGTTCCGTGGTACATAAAGCCATTTAAATGAAATAATTAACAAATATAGTGTAATGAAGAACATAATGATGGTGTTTATAACTACCTAGTTTAATAGAAAACTTTTTTTCCTATTAGTGAGAGAGCAGCAGTAGATGCATCTTACATTGATGAGATAGATGAACTCTTCAAAGAAGCCAATACTATTGAAAACTTTCTAATACAAAAAAGAGAGTTCCTGCGACAGAGGTTTACAGTGATTGCAAACACATTACACAGATAAAATATACACTTGAAATAAGTTGAGAATTCAAATTTCTTATTGTTACAATGAAAGAATGACATTTATGCTTTGAAAGCTCTCTAGTTGTTAAAGAAAATGTGTATTTTGAACAGAGAAGGGGAAACTCCTTGAAATTCTTTTCTAGATTTAAAAAGGAACTTTTAAATTCCTTAATGTTAATATTAATGTTCATGTTAATGTCCTAAGCTGGACATTAACATGAACTACATCATTTTTCTTTTGAGGGTCAAACATTTAGTGCATTTTATAGAAATGTAATTATTTAATCTTACGTGGATTCTTTTATTTTTTCCTTAAACTTCCTAGTGTTTCTTAAACTTCTAAAAAAGGATTCAATTAATTTATAATGTTTAATATTATACTTTTTCTTTTAGAATATTTTATTTAAATATCAGCTCATTTTTGAGTCAATTTTGAATTTTTTTATGGTCAGGATTATAAAAGAAGATTAAAACCTTATAGGTGATTTTTTCCAGTTTCTTAGAGTATAATGACATAACTGTGTGCTATTTCTATTTGATTATTTTCACTATTAGTTATTATGTATGGCTAATAAAAAGTCTTGGCTTAAAATGATTTTCTTGTAGTAAAAGTAGTAAAATAAAAACCAGAGTTACTCACCAGAACCTTGTATGAGTTGGCTTATTTACACATCAACCACATGAACATGTGCAGTTAATGAATTATATTTAGAAACATTAACAGCAGTGTGGTATGGGATAAAGATTAGTGATCCAGAAGTAAATAGATTGGCTTAAACAACAGGATGACTTTGGGAGGTCACTTCAATTTGGACTGGAGGAGCTATACTACTCATCTAGCTAAAAAAAAAATTATCCCTTTGATGTAAAGTACTACCAGGATTTTACTGAAAACTTTCTATGTCATATATTACTATATGGGATAGCTATATTAACCAGGTATTTAAACACTATAGCACCCATTTTTCAATCATATAGACAGTTCAGTTTATTGCATGTATATTTTTCCAATATAAGCGATCAGAAAATTGCAAATAGTACTACAGGGAATTGTTATTATGAAGGGAGACAGCCTTCTGAACTCTAAAATAAAATCTCATTTCATCAAATTACTATTTTTTGTTTTGTTTTGTTTTTCTTTTTACCAATAACTCTGGAGAATATACCAAGTAAATCAAATTACTATTTTAAGGCATAAATATCACATGACATAAATACTCAGATAAGAAAAGATAACAAAAGTGAAATAAAATAATAATTGCTAAAGAAAATTGGTTAAGTGGAAAAAATTACTGGGTTGATAGAGGCGGTGGCACAGAATAGGTTGGAGGTCAACAAAGTAACTATTAGAAATAATTTTTTCTTTTTTTGGCCAGGTGCAGTGGCTCCCATGTCTAATCCTATCTACTTGGAAGACTGAAGTGGGAGGATGGCTTGAGGTCAGGAGTCTGAAGTTGCAGTGAGCTATGATTGCATCACTGCACTCTAGCCTGGGTGACAGAGTGAGACTCTGCCTCTAAACAAAAGAAAGAATTCTTTCTGTTTCTCTTTTTTCTTTCTCTCTTCTTTCTTTCTTTTTCTTTTTCTCTTTCTTTCTTTCTCTTTCTTTCTTTTTCTTTCTTTCTTCATTCTTCTTTCTCTTCATTCTTCTTTCTCTTCTTTCTTTCTCTCTTTCTTTCTCTTTCTTTCTTCTTTCTTTCTTTCTTTTTTTCTTTTCTTTTCTTTCTTCTCACTCTCTCTCCCCACTTCCTTCCTTCCCCCCCTTTCCCTCCTTCCTCCCTCCCTTCCCCTCTCTCTTTCTCTTTCTTCCTTTCCTTTCCTTTCTTTTTCTTTTCCTTTTTTGATGGTGTCTTGCTCTGTTGCCCAGGCTAGAGTGCAGTGGCACAATCTCAGCTCACTACAACCTCTGCTTCTCAGGTTCAAGTGATTGTTCTGCCTCAGCCTCTCCAGTAGCTGGGATTACAGGTGCCTGCCACCATGCCTGGCTAATTTTTGTATTTTTAATAGAGACGGGTTTTGCCATGTTGGCCAGGCTGGTCTTGAACTTCTGACCTCAGGTGCTCCACCCACCTCAGCCTCTCAAAGTGCTGAGATTACAGGTGTGAGCCACCACGCCTGGCCAAAAGAAAAACTAAATACAACCAGAAGATTTGTGAGTTAATATGACATGTCACCTGGATTTCCATCTACCTTCATTAAGAAATGTTCGAGTAACTTTTTCTAAGCATTTGTAGTTAATATGAAAAATAAGGCCAACAGATTGTTTCAGACTAGGTTTCATAATATACTTATTATATCCTGATGGTATCACCATTGTTCAACATCTAGTTCTTCCTTTTGCGGGTTCAGAAAATTGATTTGATCATTTCGTTTGATATGATTAAGCCTGGAGAACTGATTTTAAGTCACAATGTATTTACTGTTCAGAATTGTTTATACCTTCTAGTATAAACGTCCCTGAAAGCCTAGTAATTAAGGCTTATTTTTTAAATCAAATTTGGATGGCTTTGGTACCATCCACATAAACAAGAATAATTATCTTGGCCGGGCGTGGTGCTCATACCTGTAATCCCAGCAGTGTGGGGGGCTAAGGCAGGCAGATCACTTGAGGTCAGGAGTTTGACACCAGCCTGGCCAACATGGTGAAATCCTGTCTCCACTAAAAATAAAAAAAAGTGGCCGAATATGGTGGCCTGCACCTGTAGTCCCAGCTACTCAGAAGGCTGAGACAGGGGAATCCCTTGAACCTGGGAAGCGGAGGTTGCAGTGAATTGAGATTTTGCCACTGTACTCCAGCCTGGGTGACAGAGCGAGACCCTGTCTCAAAATAATAATAATTACCTCACAACTGGAGAAATGCTATTGCAGGAACACCATTGCCCTTTAATGTACACTTCTAATGTTGCTCTTTAATATTTCAATAAAATCTCAGAAGTTTATAAGTTATTTTTCATTGATTACTAATCAAAATATATACTGAACCATCTTTGTAATGTGCTAGATGTATTAAGACACTGCCTTCTGACAATTTTAACTACTTCTTTCTTGAAATACACTTATGACTTTGCTAGGAAGACATGATATGTTAATGTTAAAAGCAACTCTGTGGCAGTGCTGTGGGAGTTACTAGAAGACCTTTTGGCAAGGGAGTCAGAGAGGTAGATTTTAATTGGATTTTTGAAAAGGAAAGAGGATATTCTAGGCAGGGGAAAAATTTCTTCAGTGGCACAGAAAAAAACACATTATGGTATGTTAGTCACGTTGCTAAGATGATAATTCATGAAGGGGAATAAGTGTATCTTCTAAACGCCTGGAGAGCAGGGAACAATCTTGTTTCTTGGTATTCTTACTTTGTAGCACAGTATTTGATACATTGGTGCTAAAAATGTTAAATTAATAAAGCCATATATATTTTAAGGGCATACTTTCACTCATGCTAGATTGTCAGAAAACGTTCTGTAAAATTAATGAACAGAAAAGAAAAGGAAGGACGAAGTGATTTAAAGGCAGAGAAGAATGAAAAGTTAAGTTGTTGCCAGATTGTAGAGTCGTCTACTTGCAGTCTAAATTTGGACTTTACTCCGTGTTGGAATCTTCCAGAAGAGAGGAGTGGCATAATAAAATTGGTGTTGTGGATCAAGATAATCGAACTTAACTATAGCGTGAGAACTGATTTGAAAAAGAAAAGTTTAGGGAGGGGGAGATCACTATTGGTGGTCAAACAGCTGCTTATTATAGATAGGTTGTTGGGACTGTTGTCATGGAAATAAGCCCCGCCCCTTAGCCTCCTACTCACCTCGACTCGTCAGTGAGGAAGACTTAGTCCAGGCAGTTCGGTGCGTGTTCGTTGTTTAGTAGTACTCAAAACTGCCAGTGTGGGAGGATTTGGAAGTCACGGGATCTGCTCAATACGAAAATGTTTCTCCGAGTCTTTCTCCGTTTTATCGGGAGTCTTTTTACCACTGCAGTGGATTTCCTTCCTGTGATGGTGCACCGGCTCCCAGGTAGGGGGTTTGCCCCTTTCTCTTTCTCATCCTCCTCTTCGTGCCAGTCCGCACTTGGAGTTCTGTGCTGCTTTCCTGAACATTGCTGTGAGCTTCTGAAGCTTTTCATCTTGTGTGGATCAGATTAGCAACTCCGCAGAGCCCCGGAAGTTAAGGAAGGCTGTTAGGATTGTTTCCTCATGGTCAGGGAAACAGCCTTCACATTTGTATATTATTATTTTTATTTTTCTTATTTATTTATTTTCTATTTTTCAAGGATCCTCCAGTAACATTTGTATATGTTATACAATATTTAGGGCAGGATTCAGGGGCTTCAGATTCTTTTGGATTTGCAATAAGAAGAATATTCAATATTTAGGCTTTTCTAAATTCAAAAATCGCTGCCACATGTTCCAATGTAAATGTTTGGTTTCTCTATTTGCATTTTGGGGGACTGCCTTAAAAATCATTTATTGTTTTATAGCGTTCCATTATAGCTACTATTGTTATATGATTTTATTTCTTGAAATTGGCTGATCTAGAGCTTTTAGAAATTATACTAATATGCACTATAAATTTTAAAATTACTTAATTTAATAATTTAATGCTTGCAGTATGCAAGGGGATGTATTACTTACTGGAGGGAGAAAGGAGACAAATACCAGACCTTGTACTTAAGGAGTACTGGTAGTATCATTTATCCCTCAAGACAGATGAAATAAGGTCCATATGAGAACAATATGCAGATGCTGTGAGTTCAGACTAAGGAGAATCAGTTCTTGCTGTAGGTAAGGGGAATGCTGTGTTTATAAAGCAAATGACATGGAAAATGAATCTTGAAGGATGAGTTAGGTGAGTGAATTTCATCTGAAGGAACTGGGAAATATCCTAGGTGAAGAAAATTGATTTGGAAGGGGGGAAATTAAAAATTCTATCTTGACTTGTTGAGAGTCACCAGCAAGAAGAAGTAATTGGTGAAATTAAGAGATTAGATGAGATTGCCAAGGGAGAGTGCTGGGTAAAGAGTAAAGAGTAAAGATTGAAGGTAAGACTTTAGGAACATTCATGAAGTGATAAGGGAGACAAGGAGCCCATAAAGGGAATTGAGATTTGGAAAGCATCTACTATCTTTATATTTGATTATGACAACAGACATAAATAGGAAATTTTGACTTCCTTTTATTTCCATTTTATCACTGAAAAACCTGAGCCTCAGAGGCATTAAATAACTTCAAGATTGTCAGCTACCAAGTAAGAAAACTAGCATAATGCAGAGAATAGTTATAGGGCAGCGGGAAAGTTAGACTAGGAAAATGTCTCAGAAGCTACAAATAGAAAGGAGTTTAAGAAAGTGTTAATGTCAAATTCTATGGAAACTTTGAAGAGCATGTAGTAGATTACCAACAGCATGGTGTGGGGTGTAGAAGATATAGACATGTAAATATTTTCTTCAATGTAAAATGCTTTAAATTCGTGTATCTCTACTTAGACAAATGCCCAATCAGGCTATTCAATTTACTTAAAAAGTGAGATGAGTAAATTACGTATGTGACCTCTGGGAATTTATTTTAATCTGAGAATAAGATAAATATGCATAATGTTAATAAAAGTAGAGTAAGATAAATACCTGAGAATTTCCTTCACTATCTTTTCAAAGCATCCTGTTTGTACTTCCTTTTTTTTTTTGAGACAGAGTCCTTGCCCTGTTACCAGGCTGGAGTGCAGTGGCATGATCTTGGCTCACCACAACCTCTGCCTCCCGGGTTCAAGTGATTTTCCTGCCTCAGCCTCCCAAGTAGCTGGGACTACAGGCACGTGGTACCATGCCCAGCTAATTTTTGTATTTTTGGTAGAGACGAGGTTTCACCATGTTGGCCAGGATGGTCTTGATCTCCTGACCTTGTGATCCTCCCACCTCAGCCTTTCAAAGTGCTGGGACTACAGGGGTGAGCCACTGTGCCCAGCCCTGCTTTGTTCTAATACCGTAGCTCCCTGACTTTAGTATGCCTAAGAATACCTGCTTGCCTCTCTCTAGAGATTCTGACTTATTAGGACCAGAATGGAGTCCAGGAAATGGCATTTTAGCAATAACACCAGGTATTTCTATTGCAAGTAGTCCTCATGCCAGACTCTGAGAAACAATGTTGAAATAAAACACTTATAGTGTCAGTGATATGTTTACTAGGCAGTAGCTTCTTTAATTTCAGGGTTCTAATGCTTTTTATCCCTCAGCAGTACCAAGTACTTTGCCAAATGAATAAAATGAAGATATTATTGGACTGATCATTAAAAGCTATGTAAAAATAATAATAGCATTTTTTGAGTATTCTGTTCTAAAAGCTTTATGTAAACTAATTTATTTATTACAGCCTTAGAAGTAATGTGAACTATCATTATCTTCACCTTAGAAAAGAGAAAACAGACCACAGAGAAGTGATGAGTGTCCTTCTCAAGGCTCCTTATTTGGGAGAGGGCACATTTGAAACCAACCACTCTGAAACCAAGTAGAGGCCCAGCTCACACCCTTAAATATTACACTATGCTGCCTCTTAAGGGAAGTATTGTAACACTGGAGATAGACCTTGACCAATTAATGGAATTGCCTTTTTTTTTTTTTTTTTGAGACAAAGTTTAGCTCTTGTTGCCCAGGCTGGAGTGCCATGGTGTGGTCTTGGCTCACTACAACCTCTGCCTCCTGGGTTCAAGTGATTCTCCTGCCTCAGCCTCCCGAGTAGCTGGGATGACATGGGTGACAGGCATCTGTCACCATGCCCAGCTAATTTTTTGTATTTTTAGTAGAGATGGGGTTTATTATGTTGGCCAGACTGGTCTTGAATTCCTGACCTCAGATGATCTGCCCGCCTTGGCCTCCCAAAGTGCTGGGATTACAGGTGTGAGCCACTGTGCCCCACTGGAATTTTCTTAAAACTAGAAATAAGGACTTTGGAAAAAATATTCAGGGTGAAAGAGAATTTTATTTGAAAAATCAGGAAAGAATTAGGTTTGACTAATTGTTATATTTCATATAGGAGAGTAGAATGTCTCATGTGCTCCAAGCTGAATTTTTGAAAGATTTGAAAGAAATGGGATAGTAGTAACTTGCTAAAAGAAAGCAAATCTCACTTCTTAATGGTGTCCCAATGTGTTAGCACATTTTTCTAGTCTAGATTTTGGAATCACTGTTAAACTTTTATGAGATAAAATAAAGAATTCTATTTTATAACACTTAATTATTTATTTGACCACCTTCTATGTTAGGCAGTACTGCCTTGTGAACACTCAGTATGATAAAATAATAGGGAAAAATTTCCGTTTCTTATTATACAAAGATGATTTTTACTTCTTGTTCCTTTTGAACTTTAGGTAATTTCAGACTGGATATCACTGCATAATTTAATTTTTGACACCCTTCTGCTGGAAAATGCCTTATATATTCATATATATACAATTAAAATAAAAGAAATTAAGTTTAAGATATTATTACATTTACAGGAATTGCTATGAAACCTCTGGAATCACATGTTGGTATGTCTAAATTATTGAAGTCAATGTAATTGTGATAATATTGAATGGTGGTCATTTTTATAACAACAAGGTTGGTCTTAGCACATCTAGGGTTGGCATGTAGATTTATTCTTGTAAAAAAACAATGCCGGGCGCGGTGGCTCAAGCCTGTAATCCCAGCACTTTGGGAGCCCGAGGCGGGTGGATCACGAGGTCGAGAGATCGAGACCATCCTGGTCAACACGGTGAAACCCTGTCTCTACTAAAAAATACAAAACATTAGCTGGGCATGGTGGTGTGTGCCTGTAATCCCAGGTACTCAGGAGGCTGAGGCAGGAGAATTGCCTGAACCCAGGAGGCGGAGGTTGCGGTGAGCCGAGATCGCGCCATTGCACTCCAGCCTGGGTAACAAGAGCGAAACTCTGTCTCAAAAAAAACCAAAAAACAAAAAACAAAACAAAACAGGCATTGTTCAACTATGAGAAATGATAAATATAGTAACTGAAGTCCTAAGTTAATTCTTAGGTAGATTAGTACTGTAAAAAATAGAAGAGTTGCTGTGGTTTGAAAATGTAGAACTAAAGCGTTGATAGTCTGAGAATGAGGAAGGAGAGAGAGGAAATGGGAGACTGTATTTGGTGTTAGGTTCACGTTTCCCTCAAGCTGCCAGTTCATAAGATTATTGTCTGTGTGAAACAGGCAAGTTTATAGAAGATTTGGTAAAATATTTTTTGTGCTTTTGGTTTCCTCTGCACAGTTTTCAAAAGGTACCTGGGAAATACGCATCAGAAAAAAGCCGTCTTTGGGCAGTGTCGGGGTCTGCTGTGTGTTGCACCGCTACTGACCACAGTGGAAGAGGCTCCACGGGGCATCTCTGCTCGAGTCTGGGGACATTTTCCTAAGTGGCTTAATGGCTGTCTGCTTCGGATTGGACCTGGGAAATTCGAGTTTGGGAAGGATAAGTAAGCCTTGATTTTGGAGAACAACTCGGATTTCTTGGCACAGGCTGGTTCTGTGGGATATGCATTAATGTCTGCCTCCTCTATGAGGTTAATATTGCCATTCCATCCCTTTGATTACAGATAAGGAAAATGTAGCCTAGAGGAGAAAAAAGGAGACTTTTTAAAGAAAACGTCCTGCTTTTTCTGCTCTGTAGGCTATTGTAAATTTGAAGTCCTCTGTGGTTTGCGCCACGAGAAGAGAGGTGTCAGAAGCTGTCTATGTGATGACTGAACTGTTTCCCCATAAGTTCCTGAAGGAAGGGCAATGTCTCCTCATACCACTTTCTCCCTCGCCCACCACTTCCCCCCTCGCCCACCACTTCCCAGACACAATGGTCTCTTTCAGTTCCTCAAACTGGGCACAGTTGTATCTGCTCAGCATCTTAGCATTAGTTCTCTCACCTATCTTCCCTAATCTTCCCAAGACTGGTCTTGTCATTCAGATGCCAGTGCAAATCTCATGTCCTTTGAACCTTTCCTGATCTCCCAACATAAAAATGCCAGCACAGTCATCCCTCAGTATTCACAGGGCATTGGTTAGAGGACCCTCCTAAATCTAGTATCTTTGGTTTGTTATTTGAGTGTTAGGTCTGAACACTCAATGTAATTTCCACTAGAATGTAATTTCCACGAGGGTAGAGACTTTTTCTAGTTCATCCTGTATCCCCACTACCTGTAACAGTGGCCCGCACCTAGATAGCACTCAATAAATAGATGTCAATACATGAAAAACCAGTAACTCTTCAGTATAAATTTCTCTAAGTGTCTACTGGGGACATGAAGTTATGTGAAGAAATCCCTATGGCCAGGAAGGAATCTGCTTTGTTTTAAACATTTTTAAATATTAGGAACAATTTTTCATTAGGAAAGTTTTTACCCATATAAAACTTTTTAAAATATAGAAAAGGGAGGTTGTACCACTTGACACATCCTTTATTAACACTTTGATGTATTTCCTGCCAGTCTTCCCCACTATTTCTATAGATTTGTTTAAAATAATTACAGTTATATGTAATATTTTTGCCCACTTTTTAATAAAACTTCACACTATCATAAGCCTTTTTATCCATGTTGCTACTAAGTCTGAACGACCATTATTTTTAATGGCTAGATGAGTTCCAGGTATTATTATTATTATTGTTTTAAATTGTGGTAAAATATACATAACATACAATTTACCATCTTAACCATTTTTATATGTAGAATTCAATGGCATTAAGTACATTCATACTACTGTATTGTGCTACCATCCATCCACAGAACTCATTTTACCTTGCAAAACTGAAACCCTATATTCATTGAACACTAATTTCCCATTCTTTCCTTCCTCTAACCCCTGGCAATCACCAGTCTGCTTTCTGTTTGTTAAACCACCTTACCCTCTCCTCTGGGCCTGTTTGGAATTTGATCATGGTCCTTCTGTGCCTCTCCAGCTATTGTTGGAAACAGAAAACAGACCAAGAACTAGGGATGTGTTTAAGATACATTTAAGATATATATATGCTTCTTAATAGTCCAGATATTTAAATTTACTGAATCTGTTGTATCTTGTCTTAACTGAATAATAGACTTACAAAATGATAGTGCTGGAAAAAAATAAAACGCAGGTTTTTTTTTTTTTTTTTTTTTTTTTTTTTTTTTTTTTTTGGTGGGGTATTGGGGAGCATGTTTTTCCCAGCTGCTGCAAGAAGCTCTTAAGAGCTACTTTAGATGGGGTCGGGTGGGGAGAGGCTAAGTGGCAAGGCTGAGTTTGGAAGTGGAGAAAAAGAAGTTAAGTTAGCTGCTAGAGAAGTTTTGCTTTCCCCTATTTTACATCTCTGCCTTTCACACAGTTATAATGTGAAAAGAATATAAGGCAAGGAGAAGTAGAAGAGAAGGAGGGAAAAGGGGAGGAGGAGGAGATAACATCTCATCCAGCTCCCAGAGAATAAACAGCCTCTTGCAGAGGGCATAGGGTACTTCACCTGCTGCAGAAGGAGACTGTAATATGTTGTTCAAACCAAGTAGCAGGACCACTCAGGGCCCAGGCTTGCCCCACAGGCCTCTTGGAAGATAGAGGAGATCTCTTTGTGGGAGAAGTGGATGGCATGGCTAGCCCTCACAAGTGTCTACTTTGTCCTGAAATCAGTTTCTTCAGAGCCAGTGGTGGGCATTTATAGCAAGAACAAGGTCTTGCTTTCCCCTTGGACAGATATCTTCAGGTCAAAGGGAGACAGACACTCAATTTAGTGGTAGGTCCAGATAGGACTTACAGGGAGAGGCAGTGACCTAGGGAAGGGCAGTGTAACCCTTCACCTATGGATAAGAATAGGCCTGCTCACCTGTGAAGCTCTGATCACTCTTAGTTTCAATTTAACAGATTCACATCAGCATGCAGACAGTGATGACATGCCAAAGGCCTATCTTCAATTAAATTTTTTTCTTAAATGATTTAATTGAAGACATATTAGTTTGTAAAGATATGTGAAGGCCAGGTGTGGTGGCTCACACCTATAATCCCAGTGTTTTGGGAGGCCAAGGCAGGAGGATGGCTTGAGCCCAGGAGGTCAAGGCAAACATAGCAAGACTCCATCTCTACAAAAAATAAAAATTAAACAAAAGTAAAAAGAATAAAGTTACGTGAATCTGGACAGAACACTAAATAGCGTCAGCAGCTTAGTCTCTACCATTCTCTAGAGAGGACTTCAGGATCCATAGTCTAGCCTCCCAGTTCCTGGACCGTCCCCACTGTAATGACTGCTCCCCTCCGTGCCACTTCGACAAGGCCACATACCGAGGCCACACTTGCAACTTACTCCACAGAATTTCCCCACCCTTGAAATGTTGTGCTCTGAAACTCTACTCTGCTCAAAACCCCAGTTTTCACAGTCTTCCATTCCATTACCTTATTTTTTCATTCCATCGAGTTGTCCTTTCCTTCTGTCTTCTATCTTCTTAAGGCTTATCCACCTTCTCTTAATTTCTTCTCCCTGGCCCAAACTTTATTGTCAGTCAGTCACTTCAACACCATGCTCACTTCCTTTGCCCTGGTGGTCACTGCTTCTCCTCTGATTATTTTCAGTCCTAGATTAACCCATTCTTGGTTTTCCCTGCTCATGGCCCAGGCCTGTTGTGCATGTCTACAGCAAGTCAATTATGAAATGATGACATCCCATCTTAGCTGAGTGCTTGGTGCTGCCAGGAAGCTTTAGCAGTCAGTGTTCTTTCCAGCTTTTTACAAGATCTGCCGCAAGTCTCTGACCCTTTCCTGAAGCCTGCTTTATTTTCCCTGTTCCTTTCACCCTCAGCAGATAAAATGGCCTACTTCATAGGAATGCATGACTTGAGGGGCACCTGCATTTGAACTCCTTCAGCTTCCCTCTTCCCACCTCCACACTTCCCCACATTCTTGATCAGAGGATGCAGCCCTCTTCCTCTTCTCTGAAACCTTGATGCATCATGATCTCGCCCCACTTCCTTTTCTGCCAAATAACTCTTACAGCTCACCTTATCTTTTTGGATCCTGTAGAGACCAGGATTTAGCCTCAGCACTAAGTTCAAACCCTTTTTCTGTCACTGAGCAGCCCTGTGACTGTAGGCATATTGCTCCGAACCTTGGTTTCCACCTCTGTAAAATAGGAAAAATATTTCTTCACAGGGTCAATGTGAAGGAAGAATATATATACATACATATGTATATGTATATATACTTACTACGTGCCAGTTACATGTGTATTGTGTTAAGCACTTTGCTACATTCTTTATATATATAAATATATATAATGTATACATATTAATATATATAATATATATACACAATATAAATATATGTCTATGTATATAAAGAATGTAGCAAAGTGCTTAACACAATATACTATATATAATACAATATAATATATATACAATATTATATATAATACAATATATAGATATAAAGAATGTAGCAAAGGCTCTCCTCGCTCGCCTTCTGGCTCTGCCATGCCCTGCTCTGAAGAGACACCCGCCGTTTCACCCAGCAAGCGGGCCGGGCCCGCGGAGGAGCGCGGCATGCAGCTCCCCTTTGCCGGGCTCTCAGAGCAAGCCACCGCCCCCACGTGGGGCTCCGCGCGAGCCGCAGGCTACAACCTGTACAGTGCCTATGATTACAGAATACCACCTATGGAGAAAGCTCTTGTGAAAACAGATACACAGATAGCGCTTCCTTCTGGGTGTTACTGAAGAGTAGCTCCACGGTCTGGCTTGGCTGCAAAACACTTTATTGATGTAGGAGCTGGTGTCATAGATGAAGATTATAGAGGAAATGCTGGTGTTGTGCTGTTTAATTTTGGCAAAGAAAAGTTTGAAGCCAAAAAAGGTGATCGAATTGCACAGCTCGTTTGTGAATGGATTTTTTAACCAGAAATAGAAGAAGTTCAAGCTTTGGATAACACCGAAAGGGGTTCAGGAAGTTTTGGTTCCACTGGGAAGAATTAAAATTTATGCCAAGAACAGAAAACCAGAAGACATACCTTTTTCTTAAAAACAAAGAATTTTTGCTTAAAGTGTTTTGCTGTTTTGTACTTCTGTAAACTTATTAGCTTTACCTTCTAAAAGTACTGCATTCTTTATTTTTATTTTTTTAATGATTAAAGAAACTTTGTTTTTGTAAAGAAACTTTGTTTTTCTGCAATTAAACAGTGTCTTCTTAAAATCAAATGTACATCCAGTACAGAATTAAAAAAACCTATTATTTAACTCAAAAAAAAAAAAAAGAATGCAGCAAAGTGCTTAACAGAATACACAATATATAATACAATATTATATATATACATTTATATATAATACAATATAATATAAAGAATGTAGCAAAGCAAAGTGCTTAACAATATATATATGCATATACATATATGTATATATTGTGTATTATGTTTATACATATTTGTATATACATGTATATGTATATATTATGTATCGTGTATATACAAATATATACACATATACAT